TTGATTGAATCCAAGCTTCATAGAACAAATCCCCTTAATAAAGGGATTTGTTCTGTAAAACTTGGACTCAGTCAAAAGGCTGTACCCAAGGACCTAGAAGGCTGTACATGTGGCCTCTATGCTGCAGGTTCCCCACCCCTGGATTAGATGAACTGTAAGTTTCCTTCCAGCTCTATGATGAGTTCATTCGATTAAGAATGCATTACATTTGAGGGTAATCGTATTTCTGAATAAAGAATCTGGGGATGGCAGTCAGAAGAGAATAGTTAAAGCTTCGAAAGGCAAGAGACAGAGCGTAGAGGAAGAGGGGCAGAGAGCCAGGGACCAACGACACCAATAGTATGGGAATGGGAAGAGGAATCATTGAAAGAAACAGACCAGAAGTGGCTCAAGAGGCTGGAGAACTAGAAGAGGCCAGTGCCATGGAACCCAAGGGAGAGAGTGTCCAGCACAATTAGGTGGCCAACAGTGTCAAATGCAGCAGGTTGAGTAGGATGAGGATTGAGGAAAGGTCATTTGGATTTTGCTGGAAGGTAACTGGAAGCCTTATAGACTGCGGTTTCAGCAGAGTGTTGGGGGTGGGAGTGGAGTGAAAGTCAGATTGCTGGGAGCTAGAGATGGGGAATCAGTAGCAGAGAGGCTAGAGTACTCATTTGAGGAGCTTGGCAGTGAAAATACTTCCTGAAACATCCTGTGCCTACCTACCCACCCCCTATCCCTTCCATCTCAAAACTCTCTAATGGCTCCTGACTGCTGTGTGATGAAGGACAACTCCCTCACCCAGACATTCAGGGCTCTCCACCATCTGGCCCCAACCCTTCCTTTTCAGTGTTCTCTTTTTACTGTTTCCTCCCTTCCAAGTATCCTGTACTCCAGCCAGACTGGGCCAGTTCCCTGAATTGGCCATGTGAGTTCCCAACTGCACTTATGATGTCACCCCCCAGTAGAAAGCCCTCCTTTCTCCTTTCCACCTATCCAGAGGAATGAATGGGTGAATTCATCCATTCAGATCTGACATATCCTTCCAGAGATTTAAAATGCCACTAACTCTAATCTCAACCCTGTCTCCCTGAGGGTCCTACAGCCCTCATTACCAGGACCATTCATGTGCACCTTTGAAGCATTTCCTGCCTACTGTAGTTGGTTGTCTTTTCATAGTGGGTGTGGCTTGTCTTGGGTTTCTCTATCCTCTCCCTCATCTAGCACCAGCATCTTATATAGAATTAAGACTGGTTGAAAGGACAGTAGTACTACAGTTGAAAGGAATATCAGAGTGATGCCTTATAAGAAGCAGCATGCAGGCAGTGTGGGGTGGTGGAAAGAATTGTGGAGGTAACTGTAACTCCTGCCTCCAATGCTCTGTGACCATAGGCAAGTCATTTCAATCACCAATCAATCAATTTTGTTGTTGTTCAGTCTTTTCAGTCATGTCGATCTCTCCTTCACCCCATTTGGTTTTTTGTTTGTTGTTACTGTTGTTGTTTTTTTTTGCAAAGATACTGGAGTGATTTGCAGTTTCCTTTTCCAGCTCATTTTACAGGTGAGGAAACTGAGACAAACAGGGTCATGTGACTTGCCCAGGGTCACACACCTAGTAAGTGTCTGAGCCTGGATTGGAACTCAGGTCTTCCTGACTCCAGGCTCAGTGCTCTATCCACTTCCCCACCTAGCTGCCCATCAATCAATTAATCAGTTAAGCCCCTACTATGTGCCAGGTACTGGGGATACAATGACCAAAAAAGGTAATGGAGAATCGATGGTGTTTATTGGGTAGGAGAGTGAGGTGGTCAGATCTGTGCTTTAGGAATATCTCTGTCAGCTTTGTGGAGGATGGGTCAGAAAGGGGAGACTTCAGGCAGGGAGACCAATTAGGAAGCTATTGCAATAGTCCAGGTGAGAGGTGACGAAACCTTCAACTAAGGTGGTAGCTGCGTGAGTAGAGAACCTTAATTTCCTCATCTATAATATGTGAATAATAATATCTGTAGGGCATTATGAGAATCGATGAGATGAATGTAAACCTTAAAAAGTCATATCAATAATAGCTAATAGTTACAGTAATAGCTCATAACATTGCAGCTATTTATATCATAGCTATTAGCTATCAGTTCATAGGGTCATAGACTTCATAATGGCAAGGTCATCTAGTCCAACCCTATCAGAAACAGAGAGGCTTCCTCTGCTCAGATAGGAACTGAGCAAATATTTAACCTCAGGGCCTCTGATTTCATCATTCTTTCTCCTGCCCTGTTTTTAAGATATTGAAGCACTAAGGAACATATAAGAAGGGGAAGGGATGTGTATGGAAATAAGGTGCTCAGTGACAGGGAATGAATGGTATTTGTTCCAGAGATCAGAGCAAGGGTTGGCTATTGAGAGCGTGAGGAATAAAATCCCACTCCTGCCAGGCACTTCCCAATCGCACCCAGACGCTCGTCACTTTGAGATCTGGAGACATTCGAGCATAGAGTATTTTTGTTGAGAGGGAGAGAGAGGAACTTACCCCTCACTCTAACCTACGTTGAATCTCCCCAGGTATATAATGAGTTCATTCTGCCGTCTGAGCAGAATGGATTCCTGGGCCGCATTCGGGAAATTATTCAGCGTGTGGAGACCTTGCTGAGGAGAGAAGGGGGCCCTGGAGATGCCCCAACTCCCCAGGTCAGATTTCTTGCCATGTTCCTAAGACACCTTATTCCCTCTCCCCTTGCCCCCCTTCTCTCAGAGACACTTCACAACCCCCAACCCTTCACTCCACAACCCCCAGACCCCTTGAGCCCCCTATTTCAGAGACTGGAGACCTTCCCCTTTGTGACGTGAGCTCCCTGTTTCCAGCAGGAGGAGCCCATGATACCGGCTCTCCCTGGCCCCCTCTCACTCCCAGTCAGTGGTATGTACTGAGTCTTCCTTCCGCCCTTGCCGATCCCTAGAAAAGGAAGGGGTGTCTCCAGGGATTGCTTTGGGAAGGTGGCCTAACTGGAGTCTGTGGTGGAAGGGAGGCCTGGGGTTGAGGGCTGCAGTCTCAACACCGCCCTTCTCAATTGCAGAAACCAAGAACAGCACTTCTCTGGAACAGAGAAACTGGACATCTTTTCCTTCCTCTCCCTCGTCACCTACTCCAGGTCCTTCCTTCCCCATCACAGCCCCCCACTTACCTATCACTTCCTCTCCATATCCCCTCACTTCCTCCCAGTTTCCTTCTAGTCCTTCCCAGTTCCCCAACACATCTTTCCAGCTCCCGAGTCTCTCTCCTTTCCCGCTCAGTCCTCCATCCCAGTTTCCTCCTATTCTTTCCCAGTTCCCCATTCCATCCTCCCAGTTTCCCCCAAGTCTCTCTTCCTTTCCCTCCACTTCTCCACCCTCATTCTCCCCTAATTCCTCCCAATCTCCCATCATATCCTCCCAGTTCCCCCCAATCCCTGCTTTCTTTCTGCCCAGTTCTCCACCTCCATTTCCACCCAGTTGCTCCCAGTTCACACTCAGTACCTCTTCCTTTCCTCCAAATCCATCTTCTCCTCTTCCCCCACCCCCTTCAACTCCCCTCCTTTCTCTGGCTGGTGCTTTCTCTCTGGCTGTGATGACTGTGGCTCAGTCCCTGCTAACCCCTCAACCGCAGCTCCTTCCTCGACCTCCAAGCCCTCCTGCCCCTCCACCAAGTCCCCCAGCCCCTCTTGTACCATGCAGCTTGGAGAGCCTTCTACCCCCCAAAGCTGAGGAGCAAAGTGAGGTGAGGATGAAAGGGAGTACTGAGGGAGGCTTGGTGACCCTAATCATGACCTGCCCTTTACCATCCCAATCTTTTTAGGCTGCCCCTAGTTCTCAGTCGCTCCAGGTTGAAGCCAGGCTGTCACCCATCACAGAAGGTGAGGCCTCTAATCTCTAATGACTTTGCCCAGCTTAATGTCTTGGCAAATATCTAACCCCTGCTCTTTTCCTCTCCGGGCCTCTCCATCCACAACAGAAGGGAAGCCACAGCTTGTTGGCCGTTTCCAAGTGACTTCATCAAAGGAGCCAACTGAACCCCTTCTCCAACAGCCAACGGCTCCACCTCCGGGTTCCCCAGAACCTTCCACCCCGCTGTTGGCCCCCGAGAGCTCAGACACAGAGGATAGTGCTGGAGGAGGGCCAGAGCCTGGAGAGGCTCTGGCTGAGAGCGATCGGGCAGCAGAGGCTCTGGGGACTGGAGCTGAAGGGGAGGATGGGGAAGAGAAGAGGGAGCCACAGATGGGCACCAGCCCCCCTCCTCCAAGCCAGCCCAGCACGGTGTGGTTGAACTACACATACAGCAGTAGCCTGTGTCTGAGCAGTGGGGACTCAGAAAGCAGCGGGGAAGATGAAGAAATCTGGGCAGAGCTGCAGAATCTTCGTCAGAAGTGAGGGGGGAATGACGGATAGGGAAGCAGTGATGGGAGGGGGGTTAGGGGGACCACTGGGAGTGGGGAAAGGGATAAAGGTGAGCTGGTGTATATGTACTGGCACCTCCTCTTATAATCAACCCTCTTGCACTGTTGTAGGCACCTGTCTGAGGTGGAGACTTTGCAGATGATGCAGAAGAAAGAGATTGAGGACCTTTACAGCAGGCTAGGGAAGCAACCCCCCCCAGGCATAGTGGCTCCTGCTACCATGCTCTCTAGCCGGCAGCGTCGAATCTCCAAGGGCAGTTTCCCTGCCTCTCGTAGAAATAGCCTGCAGCGACCAGAGCCCCCACCCCCTGGTAAGGCACTCTGGCTCCTACTTTTGCAACAAGACTCTCTTCCCCAGTTTCTTTCAGGCTGCGAGCATCCACCTTGGTTGGAGTGGCGTGAACCCCCCACCTCCTCTCTCCTGGTCCCCTGGTTCCTCTCACTCAGTATCCGTCCTTTCTCCAGGCATTATGAGAAGGAATTCTTTAAGCGGCAGCAGCGCTGGCTCTCCAGAACAGCGACCAAGCAAGGGGGTGACATTCGCTGGGGATTTTGGCAGGATGGTGAGGGGGAGCTAGGGACTGAGGGCAGCAGGGAGGAAAATACTGGGGGAAACTTCTACCCCAAGATCCTTCCTCTATCCCAAGTCCGTTCAGTCCTTTCTCTTTTCTCTTTAGTGAGTCCAGAACCAAAGCAATGTGGGACCAGGGTAGAGCTGATGCCTTCAGGACCTGGTTGATCTGTCTAACTCAGCATGCTACAACAAGATGGAATGGCAGTGTGGTGCAGTGGAAAGACTTCAGCGTTTGACATCAGGAGTTACCTGGATTGGAATCCTCCCTCTGATACAGTGTGCCCATGGGCAAGTCACTTTTAACTCTGTGCCTCTGTTTTCTCATCTGTAATAATAGTTATAATGACTGCACCTACCTCACAGGGTTGTTGTGAGGACCAAATGAAATGCCTGCACAGTGCTTTGCAAATCTTAAAAGTGCTATATAAATATGTAAGTGTCAGCTATCATGATTATCACATCCCAGGAATAGGGATGGAAAACCAGGGGAGAATACCTCTACCCTATCAAATGAGACAAAATTTGTAAAGCATTTTACAAGCCTTAAAGTCCTATATAAATGCTAATTATTACTATCAAAAAAGAGCAGCTGAAGAGACTTCTGCAGTGTACAGAGTGAGCCCTAGGGCTTCCAAGCACCAATCACTAAAACTACACAAGGTTGCTTGCTTGCGGAGAACTTCCCTGTTCAGTCCCCCCCAGCTGAAGGCTGAGTGCGCTGTCAGGCTTGTACAGAAGCCAATAAAAATACTGGAAATGAGTCCGATGGTCTGTCAGGCCTGCAGGGAATAGAGGGTGGGTGGAGGGCCCAGCCTCACTGGTGGGGTGGGGGGAGGGGGGAAGATGAAAAGATCTCTCACAATGGGGAGCAGGGGTGGAGGACACTCAGACTCCTGGCATCATGCCATCAGCAGCTTAATTTCAAGGTCAATGATCAACTCCACCAATCTAACCTCTCCTCCAGACCCCACCCTGGGCTTGCACAGGCAAGCTCTGAAAGCATGAGGGCTGGTTGACCCCCATTCACCCCTCTATCCAGGGGTGGGTAAAGGCTATTGTGAGGGCCCCAGGCAATGGAGGGAAACTGGAGATGAGAGCATGAGTGTGTTTATGCATGAAGGATGGCTTAGCCTCACATAGCCCAATGATTGCCGTGATCCTTACCTGCTAATCAGGTGGCAAGATCGCAGGAAAAGTCATTCTAGTTAAACATTCACATTTCCTTAGGGCAACACAGTTGCCATAGCTGGTAGAGTTTTCCACCACCACCCCTGCCCCCAAAGAGATTCACATAGCTCTAGAACAGGTGATTCACTTTATTGTGAATCAGCCCTCAACCTGACCACCATCACTGCCACATCAGATTTCAACAAAGAGAAGTGGTACCATACTTGCCCCTCGACAATGGCTTTAAATCTCTACAGTAGGAAGCAGCACGACGACAGGAATAAGGTGCTACTGAAAAAGCTGAGGGTGACATAGTTATGCCTCCTCCCTATTGTGACAAAGGCTCAATTTCTTTTTTTGGGGGGGGGGAGAAGAAATAGGTGTTCCCATCAAACTGGCTGGATACACAATTCCCAAAGTAGGGTGGGACTCCATAACCAAACAACATCTCAAGGTCAGGCTGGCCAAAACATTACTTATCCCAGTAGGAGTCTTTTTCCTGGAGGGGAGGGGAAGTACAGAAAGTGGAGGCATCCATCCTCATTTTGAAGAAGTTCCATCCAGGGTGGAGAGAGTTTGAGCACCCACTTGGGGTTTAGGGGCTGTTCGTGCCAGCAGCTTTCACTCTAGCAGCTTTGGCCTGGTCTTCCAAGTCATCCAGGAACCGCTCTTGGGACACTGAGTAGAATGTATAGCCATCTGGGCGTGAAGGGCTCAGGAAAACCATGAGGAAATCAGAGCATGCCCCTCCTTAACTTTTTTCCTTTACCTTGTCCCAAACCCCCCTCCCAGTAGTCTATGCTTTTGTGCCTCCTTCATGGGGTTCCCACCCCTCAGCTGCCC